TCATTAAGGGTATTCACTTGTTGCTAGGCAACGATTTAGCTGGAAAGAAAGTTATAAGTAATCCCCATGTGACTACCAAGCCTTGTCTGGACCAATCACCAGACCCAATTGAAAAGGAATTCCCTGACCTTTTCCCTGCTTGTGTAGTTACCAGGGCTATGGCGAATAAAGCCATTAAGAATGATCTTAATCTTGACACAGAGTCAATAATAGATTTGTCTGAAACCTTTATAGGTCAGCTTGATAGTACTAGTAGTACTGAGATTAATATATCTCTTGATTATAGCCTGCCTGAAAATCAGGTAGAGCATGGTGAAAATATTAATCGCCATTTATCAGTCATCAGATATCCAAGTCACAGCTTATTGATGAACAGCAAAGAGATCCTGAAATCTCTCGCTTATTTGACAGGGCTGTTAGTGAAGATGAAGCTTCACATAACCATATTTGTTATTTTATTAAACATGGAATATTAATGAGAAAATGAGACCAGTTGATGTCCCAGCTGATGACGAATGGACTGTTAATTATCAAATAGTGGTTCCACCACTATACCGTCCAGAAATACTTAGTATGGCCCATGAAACGTCTTTATCTGGACACTTAGGTGTTAGTAAAACCTATCACAAAATACTAAATCATTTTTATTGGCCGAATCATAAGAAAGATGTGTCAACTTTTTGTAAATCATGCCATACATGTCAAATGGTTGGAAAACCAAATCAAAAAATCCCTAAAGCCCATCTTAAACCTATACCTGCATTTGATGAACCTTTCAGTAGAATAATAATAGACTGTGTCGGTCCATTACCTAAAACCAAAGCAGGCAATCAGTATATATTAACCATTATGTGCGCTTCGACTAGATTTCCCGAAGCTATTCCTTTAAGGAATATTAAAACTAAAACAATCGTGAAAGCTTTGATAAAGTTCTTTACATTGGTGGGCCTCCCCAAATCTGTACAGTCAGACCAGGGATCTAATTTTATGTCTAACATTTTTCAACAAGTAATGCATGAATTAAACATTACACAATTTAAATCTTCTGCTTATCACCCTGAAAGCAAGGGGGTATTAGAAAGATTTCACCAGACATTGGAAAATATGATAAGAACATATTGCTTCGACACTAACAATGATTGGGATGAGGGCATACACCTATTGGTTTTCGCAGCAAGGGAATCTGTCCAAGAATCCCTTGGGTTTAGCCCATTTGAACTTGTATTCGGCCACACAGTTCGTGGACCGCTTAAGCTACTTAAAGAAAACTTGCTCTCTGTAGAAGAAAATCCAATAAATCTATTACAATATGTATCTGATTTTAAACATAAATTATTTAAGGCCTGTGATGTAGCTAGGTCTAATCTGCAAGCTGCTCAAACGAAAATGAAGAGCAGATATGATATTAACGCAAAAGAACGAAGCTTTGAGATTGGTGACAAAGTTCTCGCTCTCCTTCCTATTCCTGGGAAGCCGTTACAAGCCAGGTATTATGGTCCATACACCATAGATAAGAAGGTAAATGACTTAAATTATGTGATAGATACCTGTCTCTTATACACATCTAGATGTGTATAAGAGACAGCATAATATCTATCTGTCTTCAGACTTA